AGATAGCCCAGGATCTTCTAGTGCAATCTTAGAATTGATGCCCTGCTCTAGCTAGCCTTCCCTTCTTATGGTTAGCTTCATACTAAGCTCACATGGCCTTCCCCCAGCTACTAGTTTTCGTTCAGCCATGTGGTTAACTGTCTGTAATAATCTTTACTCTTTCTTCACCCTTATTCTTAGCATAAAGTCAGTCATGCACTTGATGCTCTGACTACTCTTTTATGAACAAATATTATACTTTTATGATTTTATTAACTATTTTATAATGACAAACTAGGAATATTTAGTAGTTCCTGAAAATAATCCTACACTGTATAGATCAACAAATAACTAGAATAATGGTTCCATTTAAAAAAAAAAACTGTGATCTTAAAAACATATCAACTAAGTTTATATCAACTGAAGAAGTCTTTATTCCAGTTACAATCTCAAAACAAATGTAGCACACATTAATTGGGCAGCCACTATGTGTCAGATATTATTCTAAGTATTACCTACTAACGTAAAAAATATTCTGCTATATTCTAGTGAAGATAGCAGACAACTATAAACTGATACTAAGTGCTATATCTATGGTTCATTAAAGTAGTATAGAAACTAATTTTATGCATACCTTGGTAGCTTCTACTTTAGTCTAAATATCTATTTTAGAACTGAGTTTCTACCTTAGTCTGGATTTCTACCTTAGACTAAATATTTATTTGTGGAGAGATATTTAAAAAGTAAGTGATACATAGTTAAAAATATAAGATTTGAACCTGCACCGTTGTGCACACCTCCAATCCCAGTGACTCAGAAGGCTGAGGCAAGAGGATCCCAAGATCAAGGACAGCCTCAGCAATTTAGTGAGATCCTCAGCAATTTAGCAAGACCCTTTCTCAAAATTAAAAAAAAAAAAGTGGTAGACATTCGTGGGTTCAATCCTCAGTACAATATATATATAAAATATATATATTACTATGAGAAACTGGAAGAGTGAGATTAATATTAATGTAAGCTAATATTATTCATGCCTCAGGATCTTCTTGCTATGATTTTTTCTTTTACTTTGTTCTTCTCCAAGCCCAATTCAAGATTTCATCACCACATTCTTCACCATCATCTCTCAAACATTATCAATCTTTTTGACACATCATGCACTCCTCCTCCTTCTACTCTTCCTGACTTCTCCTAGATGGGACTGCTTCCATATATGCTGACATTCCAGTTATGACAGTGGTCCAGCCCTCCCTGTTCCAGCTACCTCTGCCATTAGATCACTATCTCCCTCTTTAATACCCACTGCTAATTGTATTTGTTCATTTCCCACACATAAGCATGACGTGGTCATTTTGGTGATACTTTGTTCCTATTGTCTGGTTATGTGGAATCTGTTTTTCACACCAATTCATGTTTCCTCTGTAATTTCACTTTAATTTACTAATTCCTGTATGTTTTATTCTTAAATTCTCAAGATGATTATTAATGAAGTGGAAATCTAGTGATCTTTAGTTACTTCTAATAATTTTCTGTCCTAAAATTTCCCATTAACCAAACCTTTTTTCTTCAGGATTATTGCAAGGCTGCTTACAGAGCTGTACTCCAACATTCAGCACATCTTTGTATCTGGTGAGAGGCATTAAAGGTGGAAAACAAGGCCAAGAACAGGCCTTGATCCCACTGTCTTCCCTCAAAATATCTTCTGGCCAGGATCAGGCAGGCTGTGGTGTGGCCAACCCAGCTACATTCAAAACAGCTCCTCACTGTACTAGAGCCCTCTGGTGGTAAGAGAACACCCACAGTAGGCTGGTCTAAGTAGAGAACCTCAACATGGTTACACCCAGGAACCCCTAATCCTTCTGGCTCTTTTTGTTCACTTGGCAAGCTCAATTCTTCCCTCCTTTGGGTTCCAGAAAAAGTCATACTTAAGAATACGAAAATAAATTAAATTCAGTTGAAACTAATTTAAACATTTATTCTCTTCATCAAACTTAATTCCTTCCAGAACTTTTACTCTCCCTTCATAGTTTGTAAATAATCATCAGTTCAAATTTAAAGTCTAGAAAGTAACAGTATCTGATCAGCAGCAAAGTGATTAAAGCTCTCCTTCAAGCCTTGGCTAAAGCAAAAATTATAACTATCATCTTCAATGCAGAAATATTACATGGCAAGGGTAAAGACAGAAGAAGAGTATAATCATTTGGTATGTTCAAATATAAAACATATTAGGGAAATTTCTAGATCTGTTAAGTAAAATTGCAATAACTTTTCTGTTTCTATGCTTGCCTCTCAGGAATCAATTCTCCTTTACATAGCCTAGGTGACCTTTAAAAACACAAGTTGTTCATCTCCTACTCTCTGTCACTCTTGGCTTCTATCAAAGTCTTCACCTTGGCCCTCAAGGTCCCACATGAACAAACCTTGGCTACTTTCCTAAGAGCATTTCCTATGAGTCTCTCTCATAACTTACTAGAGCTTAATAAAAATCAGAATAATGTGATAAACTCTCAAATATCTGTGTTCTGGAACATGCTAAGCATGCTACTCTTTAAAGACTCTTGTATTTGTTCTTCCCCTGGTAGGAATGTTCTCCCAGATGTTTCTTTGATTTATTTCTTCATCTCATATAAATCTGATTCAGTCAGTATCCCTGCAGGACATGGATTACTCCTTAGACCATTATATGAAGAGAAATTACTAAAGGAATTTTACAGGGGGTATGTTCAGGATTAAGAGAAAAATGGGCTGTCAAGGCACTAGTAGATTAGAAACAGGAGGAAGCCTTTACCATCCCTAAGCCTGAAAGGGCAGGTAGAAGGAACTGATTTATTGCAGCCCACTGAGAGCCACAACCCCTCCCAGAGGTTCCCCAGCAGGACATTGGGGGGAGTGTTAGAAAGCAGGTAGAAACATAAGAGAGAAAATTTTCCTGGCCTGATCTTTTTCTCCTCCCTTGAATCTCTGAAAGGTTCCAAGCCTTGCCAGGAGCCAGTGGCTGAGAAACACATTAGTCCTCATTAGTCAGCCTCCTGGGGCCAAAGTGGGGAAAGGGAAAAATTGGTTCAGATAGGCAAATGGAGAAAGGTCAGGACAAGGGCTCTATTCAAAAGATCACCTCCTAAGAAAGATCTTCACTAATTAATCTACCTAAAATGGTACCCCATTAAAGCAATCCTTCAAGCCTTGGCTGAAGCAAAAATTATAACTATCATCTTCAATGCAGAAATACTACATGGCAAGGGTAAAGATAGAATAAGAGTATAATCATTCGGTATATTCAAATATAAAACGTATTAGGGAAATTTCTGGATACATTAAGTAAAATTGTAATAACTTTTCTGTTTCTATGCTTGCCTCTCAGGAATCAATTCTCCTTTACACAGCCTTGGCTAAAGCAAAAATTCACTCAATCTGTTATTGTACTTCTCACTACCTGATATTATATTGTATTGTTTGTTTATTTGCTCTCACACTAACATATAAGTTCTGGAAGGGCTGGGATTTTTGTCATTTGTATTCATTTCTGCATCTCTACAATTTATAAAAACTACTTCATAGCAAGTGTCCATTGTTTATTGAATGAATGAATGAATTTAACACTCCCTTTGCTATTCAAAAATATTTATGTTTAATAAAATTAGAAAAATACAATATCTCTAAAGAGTTATAGTTGACTTAGTCACACATAAGACCTCTATACTATAGCCCTTTCTAAATTTCAAAATATCTTTCTTGCTAATTTACCCTGTAGAATAGCAAAAATTTAAACATTTTTGTGATAAAGAAATATATATAAACACATTATATTTCATAAATTTTATACATGAATATAAAATAACAGAATCTTAGAACTGGAAAAAAACATTAAAATTCTTAGCACAACCCCACATTCAATACATGGACATTCTTGACAATGGTCCCTTCATAGGTAAAGAGTAAAGAGTGAATGTAATACCTCTCCCAGAGAACATATGTTCATAATAATTACAGCTGTTCATGTGTGATTTTAGTTATGGTATTTGATCTATTAAAATTTAATGTTTAAAAAGGGATAGAATACTCTTTACATTCAAAATGGGACAAAAGTTTATTTAAAAAACACTGACAAATAATTCTCTATGATATCCTATTTATATTATTTATCTACCTGATCAATGAAATGAGAGGAAATTCACTATATCAAGAACTGGCTACTTAAAGCAGCTCTTATTATAATTAAGGTTTGTGTTTGGGTCTTTTTATCCTATATATTTAAAAAAACAAAAACTCTGTATCTAAGTCATATTTTCTTTCTTCCAGATCAAACATTCACAGTTCATTGGACCAAGTTTCCTAGGCCATTCTTTGTGGAAACAACATCCAGATGCTCTTTTGAACATGGTCTAGTCCATCAACTTTCCATTTAAAGTCTTAGATGGCAAAAGAGTTCTTCAGTGTGTATGTGGCCATTGCAGTATAGTGGTTGTCTATCTTTTCCTCTTACCTGGACCTTCTATTTTCATTGACAAACTTGAAAGTACAGTTTTCTTTCACTTTTCCCCTCAGCTACAATATATTACTGATCTTCACTGATTTTTTCTTTTGTTTTTGTTTTTATTGTCATTATTGCTTATTTTTGGAAGACTCGTTCTATTTTATTTTAATTTCTAATTGATTTTAAAAAAAATAAATGATAGCAGAATGCATTACACATATGGAGAACAATTTTTCATATCTCTGGTTGTATATAAAGTATGTTCACACCAATTCGTTTCTTCACATACATACTTTGGCTAATGATGTCTATCACATTCCACCATCCTTGTTAACCCCCTCCCTCCTCCCTTCTCCTCCCACCCCTCTGCCCTATCTAGAGTTTGTCTATTCCTCCCATGCTCCTGCTCCCTACCCCACTATGAATCAGCCTCCTTATATCAGAGAAAACATTTGGCATTGTTTTTTGGGGACTGGCTATGTGCTACAATTAGAGCAGGAATTACTCTGCTGATGACATTCTACCAAATAAGTCACTAGAGACTTACCTGCAGCTACTATGATAATATCTGCCAGCTGAGTGTGGATCTTCAGTTGTTCTCTGGGAGTGTATCTGTGAGCTATGGTGACAGTTGCATCACCTGCAATACAGAAGAGTTTTCATTAATGATTATTGTGCTTTTCCAAATTTTATGAAAGCTCTAAATCTAGAGGGATTTTGGATGTTACCTAAGAATAGAAAATATTGTTTTGACATGTCTAAATCCTGTGAGAGAAAAAGTTAGATAAGGAGATTTGGATGAACCAAAATATTGCACCTTTCACCAGGCACGGTGGTGCAGGGCCATAATCCTAGCGGCTTTGGAGGCTGAGGCAGGAAGATCACTGAAGCCAGCCTCAGCAATGGCGAGGCACTAAGCAACTCAGTGAGACCCTGCCTATCTATAAATAAAATACAAAATAGGGCTGTGGATGTGGGCTTAGTGGTCAAGTGTCCCTAAATATATATAAATAAATATATATATATATATATATATATATATATTTATATTTCAAATAGATGCAAAGAAAAATCAAATTAGGCTGAATGAAGATAAGTTCTGATTGTCATGGAAAAACTATAAATCCTAAAAATCCAGAATTTGAAAAGTCCATATTTAATGTTTAATGGATTGGCACAGGAGATATTCATTTGCTTTCTAATGACAGATAAATAAACTCAGAAAACAACAAGATAAGTATTCTACAACTGAACAACACATTATGGAAATAAGGTTAGAGATGAATTCTGCCATGAGGACATATCAAGGAAGAGTTCTTAGAGGAGGCAAAATATTTTAGGTATTTTAATTATGAGCATGATATACCAATCATTATGTGTTTAGAAAATGAAGAGGTCTAGACTATAACACGAACCTTCTGTATAAAAACTTTAATGGAGTTATGGGTGAGTAAGAGAGGTAAGCAGCTTGAGGCATTCCAAGGTTTAAAGTGTCAACCAGGAAAGAGGAGTGAGGAAAAAGTGATGATGTGGAGAAGTTGAGAGGGACTTCCAGTGAGAGTGTGGCCATGTGAGACACTGTCTCACTTTCCTTCTCCTGGAAGTTGTGCAAATGCTACATAGATCATAACAAAAGTGCACTATATCCATATCTAGAAAAATTAGAAAACATATTTTCACAGACTCCAAAAACATGTAAGAGTTACCAAAAGCAGCAGTTACTAGATACCTCATAGAGATAAAAGTAGCAAAAACAAAAACAAAAACAAACACGCAGGGTTCTGAGCAACAACAGACCTTTGAAAAAGATTATCAAAATATACTTGATTGAAGTGAAGGGTTTACATCCAAAATGGGGTGGGAAAGCCCATATTTTTTAATTGTAGCAGAGAAAATAAAAATAAAATCAGAAGAGCCCTCTTGGATCAGGTATAGTTCAAAGTGTGTTATATCACAAAAGTGACATAGTGGAGCCATTACAATAGGGAGCTTCATGAAAGCAGAGAGGCAACAGGCTGCCTCCCCAACCTATGGTGGAAATATTCTGCAAATAGCAGGTCCACAAAAATCTTAACTCAATTCAATTATGAATAATAAAAAAGGACTGGATGAAACATCAATAGAAGTCTCTACATAAGGGAAAGCCCAGAATTTTGAAAAGTGATGAAACAATTCTGATTCAAATAGGAACTATTATAGTCATCTGGCAGACAATATAGGCACTTGTACAAATTAATAGACCAGCATACCAAAAGAAGCAAATTTTACCATATGCAAATTTTAAAATAAATAAAAGCATACATTTAAAAAGTAGCAGAATCAAGAAAAAAAAAACAAAAAGAAAAAAATTTGTAAGGAATTTACCAGTTTATCAATAAACTCAACAAAAAATGCTGTCATGGAAAACTTGAACATTATAAACAAACACTATATCAAAATGTTTAAAAATTAGAACTCAAGATAATAAAAAGTGAGGACAAAAAGACTTGAATCAATCAAAATTGACTTATAATTGTCAACACCAACATAGTAAAGGTCCTGGATTGTAAAGATTTTAAAAGAAGGAGGAGGGTGGGAGGAGGAAAAGGAGGAAGATAAGGAGAGAAGAAGAAGAAGGAGAAGGAGAAGGAGAAGGAGAGGAAGAGGAAGAGGAAGAGGAAGAGGAAGAGGAGGAGGAAGAAGAAGAGGAGGAGAAGAAAAAGAATCCTATGAGTAATCAGGCCAAATTTCCAATTTTAACATTCAATTTCAAAAAATTATAGGTCAATATCCACAGAAATTCACATGAAGTCATTGGAAGTCAAGAAGTTTAGACCAGACAAATCTGCCTCTCAGATTAAAAATAACAAACAATTCTGAAAATGAAAGAAACAGGGAATACTGCTTACCAAAGGAACATGCTAAAATATGTACTTCAAATTAATTAAGATGAGTTTGAGGAAACTGGCAAAAAGACTATCATAGAGTTCTAAATATATTTCATTATATAACTAAGGTTTAAAACTATGTGAGAACTAAAGTGACAAACTACTCTGGTTTGAATGTTTACCTCCTACCAAGCTCATGTTGAAATTTAATTGTCATTGTAGCAATATTAAGAGGCGGCACCTTCAAGAGGTGTGCAGGTCATAGGGGCTCTGCCCATATGAATGGATTAATGTCCTTTGGTGGAAGTGGGTTCACTACAAAAGGATGAGTTCATCCCCCTTTGTCTCACTTGGACCCTTCCTTGCCCTTTTGCCTTCTGCAATGGCATGATACAGCAAGAAGACCCTCACCAAATGCCAGTACCTTCATCCTGGACTTCTCATCTCCTGAACTGTGAGGGAATAAAGTTCTGTTCTTTATAAATTAGCCAATCTGTGGTATTCTATTATGCCTGCACAAGGTAGACTAAGACACAGGTGAATGTAAATGATACTTGCTTTGACTATGCAGGAATAATGCAATTAACAGAATTAAAATTGGAAGGAAAAATATAAGAAATTTTAGTTATTGCTTAATATGCTATAATGGGAATCAACAAATATTCAAAAAGCTAATAATAATAGTTTAAAAATATTTAAAAGTATAAATACTTTGAAAGTTAATTTTTATTGGCAAACATCAGATAACACATAAAAAGAAATGGAATCAGATTATCACTTATTTTATGAGTATCAGTAGATACCATATAAAGAAACAGAATACTGTATGGTGTACTGCATAGTGTTATAATTATTGAGATAACCAAAACCTTCCTAAATATTAGAAAAAACATAGAAAGAAAATAATGTAAAAAATAAAAACCACAAACAGAAAATAATGTGATGATTATGGTCATATATATTTGTCATAGCAATAAATATAAATTTATCTAACTCATCTATTTAAAAGAACAATATTTGCAAATTGACTCACAAAAAATATGGTATACAATACAAATCATATTATATATGACACATTTAAAGTTACTCAGAATTCAGAAATGTTGAGAACAAAATATGTTCAAATACAGCAGGTAAAATGACATGCACAAAAAGAATGATGCTATTTCATGCAAGAAAAAATTCAATATTAAGTAGGACAAAGAGGTACACATTAAAAAGCATAGGGGAAATTCAAAAGAAAATACAGCACTAATAAATATGTAATTAACAAAAGAAAGATAAGCAGAATTCATAAGTCAAAATTACAGATGATAAAAATATAATACATTGTATTTGCTGAATTTAATTCAGCCTTTATAATTCATGGCAGATAAGAATGTAGAAAATGTAAATAACATAATTAATAACATCTATACGATTATATTAAAGTCTGAAAATAGATAGTACAGTTTTATGTACCCTCACCAAACAATATATTTTTTAAAATGGTATGACTTTTGGTACAAAAGAAATTTTTATTAATACCAAAAAGAAGATAGTTATATAAACTATAAATAATTTATTTAATTATGACAATATAGTTGTAACTATTGACAAAATCAGAAATACAAAGATCCTTCTATTGGAAGTTTAAAAAGTCCTATTTCAAACAATTCTTGTATCAAAAAAAATTCTTTACAAAATAATGTTGTAAATGTTTCTAGGAAGAAATAGGAAAATTCATAGACCTAAGTTATTATATCAATAAGACATAAATCAGAAAATACATTAATCAATCATTTATCTTAAGTTATATAGATAAAAATAAAATAAATCCTTAAGATTAATAAACATAAAAGTTAAAATGTATTTGTTAAAGCTAAAAATGGAAATATTATTAAAACATTAAAGAGAATTCAATACTTTTCCAAGGAAAAAATGAATACGCAAAAGTATATAGATTTCACATGTAACAACATGTTAAGAACACATATTAAAAGAAATCTATTCTCATAGCTATATAAAAGATAAAATATGGTTAAAAGATAAAATATGGCTGGCTGTGGTGGCACACAACTATAAATCCCAGTGACCTAGGAGGCTGAGACAGGAGGATAGAAAGTTAAAGCCAGCCTTAGCAATGGCAAGATGCTAAGCAACTCAGTGAGAATCTGTCTCTAAATAAAATACAAAATAGGGGTTTAGATGTGGCTTAGTGGTTGAGTGCCCCAGAGTTTAATCCCTGATACCCCACCCCCGGAAAAAAATATAAGTAGGCATAACAAGAAATGTGAAGAATCTATGTCATACAAGAAATTCTCTAGAATGCCACCAAAAGAACTAGAAAGACAGACCACATTCTTAGAAAGATTCAATATCATACTAATGAGAACTCTCCATATGTTTATTACAAATACAATAATACGACTCAAATAAAATTTTTTAGGAAGCATATAATTTGATACTAAAATTAATATGGAAATATAAAAACTAAAACCAGGAAAGCTTTGAAAAGAAAGAACAAGGAGATAGTACATGGTGATAGCCATTCGCATTTTAGTTAATGAAGCCACCTTCTGCCCAGTTAGAGTAAAAACCTGAGTCTCCTTTGGTTTTACTCTTTCTTTCATTGAATTTAAAATCAATGTGTGTAAAGTATACATTTACATTCATTCCAAAATACCAAAATTATGAAGCATCTTTCCATTTCTGTCTTAGTCCAGGTCCCCCCAATTCAGAAGGGTCTCCTTATTCCCTTATACCTCAGCAACCCACTAAAGTATTCTCTAGT